TCAGAAGTAGTTTTGCACTGGCTGCAAACACACCCGGCTCATTTGAATACTTTCCTGGCAAATAGAGTTGCAAATATTCGAAGGTTTACTTCTGACAGATTTTGGCATCCTGTTCCGACAGGAAATAACCCAGCAGATCTGGGTTCACGTGGTTGCACCACGGCCGAATTGACTGATTCGCACTGGTTTAAGGGTCCACGATTCTTAAATCTAGATTGTTCCCTTTCACCTCGTAATTCTCATATCGAGCTGACCAAAGAGCAGTCAACGCTGGAGAAGTGCAAGAACGCGATGGCTGTCATGGTGGCTGATGAGTGTTCAAATCCCTTTATGGATATATTTGAAATTCTCCACATTATCTGCTATTCCGGTTCGTCAACGGGAAAACAAATACAAACTCGTCACCTGTGCCAGCAGCAGCTGAATTAGAGTTTGCATTATTGGCAGTTGTCCACAAAGTACAACACACAGCTTTTGCAGACGAGATCTCAATGCTAAACAAGTGCTCGATCCTGCAGCCTTCGTACCAAAAATTAGATCCATTTATTTGTCCATTTCGAACGGGAAATCGACAATTGAATTTGATACGAGTTGGCGGTCGCTTGCTTAAGGCACCATGGCTTGTCAATGCGCGACAAGCTTGTACCGTAGTGGTGCGACAGTGTGTGCATTGCTTCAGGTATAAACCAATCCTAGCAAGCCAAATAATGGAAAATTTGTCCGCTGACCGATTACATGGCTTGTAGGCCATTTGAGGTGACCGAGTAAGTGGACTTCTGTGGTCTAATACCTGTCTCGATGGGAATTCGTGGCAGAACCCCGGTCAAGATGTATGTCGCGGTTTTTGTATGTTTTGCCTCCAAAGCTGTGCACATTGATGTTGTGACAGACCTGACTGGACCTGTGAAGCGACTATATTCGGACAATGCCACCAATTTCGTGGGTGCTGCACGCATTTTGGAGGAGTTCCGCAACAGCTTCAGCACCAACAACAATGCTATTACCACATTTGCTGCCACAAAGGGAATAACGTTCCAGTTTATCCCGCCCCGCGCGCTGCATTGAGGCGGCCGTAAAGTCCGCCAAGACGTTGCTGCTAAAGGCCATCGGAAGCGCAACGCTGCGGCAGGACGAGCTGGTAACCGTGCTGGTGGAAGTGGAGGCGATCCTCAAATCGCGACCGATCGTGGCAGATAGCGCCAGCCCAAACGACGGAGGCCGTCACTCCAGCGCATCTACTCGTCGGAGGAACGCTGGTAGCGCTGCCTACAGGGTTAACGCAGCCCGTAACAGACGTCAAACTGACGTACTTAAAACGCTGGCAGCTGATCTCAGGCATCAAGCAGCGGTTTTGGGCCGATTGGTCCAAAGATTACCTGCTGAGCCTGCAGCAGCGCCAGAAGTGGTCAGTCCAAATCTGGAGAAAGGAGGAAAGGAGCCGTCGTAGTCGTCCACGAGGACAACGCTCCTCCTCAGCAATGGATGCTGGGAGTCGTCGAGGAGACGACAAAAGGCGCCGAAGGCAAAGTGCGCGTGGCAACCGTCAGGACGAAGACGGGGCTGTTTAATCGGGCCATACTCCGTCATGCCCCATTGCCTACAAGTAGTTTTTGAAGCACTGCGTGCCATTAACGTGGCCGATGTAAAGGCATTTCACTTAGTTTTAAATAGTCATAAGTATTTAAGAGATTTATAATTGAAATCAACGTATAGTCTTAAGAGAAAAATTGTCGTACACTGCAGCTGCCTGCGAGCAGCATAATTGGAATTGCCGCTCTTATGTTTGTGCTTACGGCGGCGGCATTTCTATGCAGCTTCGCTGCAATTAAAAGAACTTTTGTAATTTTGAAGTCAAACTGTCTATACGCGTCATTATTCTTGAGCCAATTAATCGTGCATAGAAAGCCGCAAGTCTTTTATAAAAAGTTCTTGTGAACCATTTGGTTTTGCCATACCGGCAAGTTACCGGCTTAATGCCGTACAGTGAGCTATTTTTAGTACTACTGCGATTTAGAACGCATAAATATGTGTTCAATGCAGACATAGAGAAAATGTATGGCCAGATATGGATTAATCCTTCTGATCAGTTTCATCAATTGATCGTGTGGAGAAAAAATACTTAGGATGAACTAAAATGCTACTTCTTCAACATTTGGGGATACAGAATGCCAAAGAGTACCCAATTGGATCGGCAGCACTGCGTCATGATTTCTATGTAGACGATTGTCCCACTGGCAAAAGGAATTGAACCAACTCCTGCTCCAGTCAGGATTCAAATGGAAATGGTGCAGCAACAATAACCATCTCCTTCAGGTCATACCAAGCGAAGACATTATGCCCAATGCAGAACTAGATAAGGCAAACGAAAATTATGGAGTGTTATGGTTATACGTTTACCGACCAATTGAATGGACCAATTAAGGCCCTTCTGAAAACGATAACCAAGATAACGAAAAGAAGCGTATGTTCAGAACTACCCCAACCCTCCGCCCCGCAGGGACTTTTTGCGCCAGTCGTGGTGAAGGCAAAAATCATCATGCAAAGGCTCTGGGAGCTTAAACTAAACTAGACTGGGATGAGGAAATCACAGAATACCTACAAAGATAATGACAAACGCATCGACACGACCTCCTGGCATTAAATGACGTCCGAATTCTTTGGCATATTTTCAATGGACGGGTACCAGAAATAAGATAAATCCACACATTTCTAGACGCCTCACAAGATGGCAACGTAGCAGCTATCTGCATTCGATCAACCAACAAAAAGAAACGAGTTACAGTGCAACTCCTCTGTTTAAAATTTAAGGTCGCGCCACTGGCACCATTCTCATCAGTGGCGTCTCGTAGCGACAAACCATAACCCAGCAGGCATGCTGTCACGAGGGGTGTCAGTAAAAAACTCGGCAATTTAAGATATGTGGCTGTATGGACCATTGTTTCTACATGGACTGCAGACAGGATGGCCTACAGCATTTGTGACCACCACCCAACCCCTTTCAAAACTTAAACAAGAAAGGAATGCTAAAGTCGAGCAGGCTCAACTCTCAAATACCCTGTACCACCCCACAAAAAAGAAATTAAATTAATTAAATCAATTAATTAATTAAATTAAATTAAATTAATTAACTAAATTAAATATTCCATGCATGCATACATACATTTACATTTACATCAGTTAATTAATTAAATTAATTTAGTTAATTAATTTAATTAAATTAATTAAATCAAAAAAATAAATTAATTAACTACATTAATTTAATTAATTAACTAAATTACATATTCCATGCATGCATACATATATTTACATTTACATCAGAATCGTGCCTTATGCGTGTTTGTGTACTTGTACATATGTATGTATGTGTGTATTGGGCCTGGTTATATGGCTATAACTTTCTTTCTGATCAACCTATCATAATGAAACTTGGTATACGGATATATAATTACTAACTGGATGTGTCTACCAAATTTTAAAATTCCAAGAATTACGGGAGTTATAGAAAATCGTTAATAGGGGGGGAGTGGGGGGGTGGATCAGAAAAAATGAACAAACTCGTCCTTTCTCGGGCTCAGGAGAATCTGTATACCAAGTTTGCTTATTCTAGCTCTTATACTTTCTGAGATCCTTGCGTTCATACAGACAGACAGACGGACAGACGGACATGGCTATATCGATTCGGCTTGTCATGCTGGTCAAGAATATATATACTTTGTGGGGTCTACCAAGCCTCCTTCTGTGTGTTCCATGTGCACTCGCACAAAACTAATATACCCTTGTACCCTTTGGGTACAGGGTATAAAAAGAAGCCGAAGATTCCATGCACCACTGCGTCACCGAGTTTGACAGTACCATATATAGTATAAGATATAATGGTGGGGGCAAGGAATCAAATGCAGGACCTCAAAAGAGCAATATATTCCTGCAAAGCCCAACAGTCGATTATTGAAACTTGTAACAATAAGGACATAAATTTTAAATTTAGTGACAATCACATTCGAGAAGTTGGCGTGAGGACATCCACTGGGACATATATGCAGCCTACCCATAAGTTGGCACCGCTATTTTTCGAAGAGAACACGGCACATAAACGATCAGTGGGGAGCGAAAACGCTACGCTACCGTAGAACCACCGAGCGGCAATACGAACCAAATTACCAACTTGACATGCTGCATCAATGGCTGGGCGTAGTAGTACTCAACACTTATCGATGCAGGCAACAAACCCAACAACCACATACATATGGTCAGCTAGTGGTACTAACTGCTGCGACGGCCAAGAAAATCAACAAAGTAAAAAATTCACTGCATCAGCATAAGCGAGAGTTGAACAACCGTTCAACGGCTGGGAATGTGTCGGTGTCCGCATATTAGCCAATAATACAAATTAGGTCAGATATGCGCTAAATATTTGCATGCTAGCAAATATTACAAAGTCAGCCAGATTTGGAATTAGTGACCTGACCTGACTTTTACATCGTCAACATACAATCCGTAACTGCCGTAGGTTCACTACACTCAAGCAACTGCTCCCGTCAGCCGTCTACGCTACTGCCATCTTCACTGCTACCGTGCGCAACCGCTGACATAGCAGAACTGACGAACTTCGATTAGATATAAGTAGCGTAATTATCTTTAAGCAAATCAGTGGTCGAAATATCAGCTAACCAATAAACCAACGATTATTAGTTTAATCTACGTGTACTTTCACTACAACTCATAGGGTACAAATGTCGGTTGCGAAAATAATACTGCTACCAGTTTATGTGCTAGCAACATCAAACATTCAACATTACATATCTTCCTTTTTGAAGTTAAAAAAATGTCGATTGGGACCAAGTGCACTGAGAAAAGGTAATTCCTGCTGTAGTCAAAGTCATCTCTGGTTATATACCTGGTTTATATATCAATTTGTTACGCTAGCGTGAATACACTTGACTAAGACCTTAACGCGTATAGGTTGCTCTTAATGCTAATTAATGCAATCATTTTTATTACAGATTTGTGGATCTTACTAATATCCATACCAACCAAATTTTAGATCGGTTTAAGCCTCAGTTGAACTTAGACAGTCTCATTCTATTCGATGAAGACTCTATAAGATCGATTGCAAGTATATCAATGCCGGAAATTCCCACGCAAACGCTGACAAATGTTATTACATCTAATCAATTTTTAACATTGCCAAGATTGTCATCGCAGGATATTTTGGAAGGTAAGAAAGTCATATGAATATGTATATTCATGGGATCACAATATTTTATATTCTTTACATACAATGTACAAGAATATATTAGGTTTGCGGGAGGTGAAAAATGTAAGAGGCAGAAGGATCGGTGACAGAGCAGACTAAATATATATATATATATATCTTTCTGCAAAATTGTCCCTAGCTTTTAGTTTCTGAGATCCAGGTTTTTCTAAGGATAGACGGATAGATAGATAAACTTGTCTTGTGATTCTGATAATAATACATATATATGTGATATATATATCACGATTATTATTTTCGATTATTATTATCAGAATCACAAGACAAGTTTATATATATATATATATATATATATATATATATATATATCTATATATATATATATATATATATATATATATATATATGGTGATCATATTATATATATATATATATATATAATATCTATCTATATATACTATATCTATATATACTATCTATATATATATCTATATATATATATATATATATATATTACCACTATAACTAATATTTTTTAAAGCTCGTTTTCCCCCCTTTGGAGCTCGAATTTTCCAAAAGCCTTTCTTAGTGTGCTCCTACACTATGATGGATACTATGAAAGGATACTTGAGTCCAAATTTCATCTTTTACCATTTGGGCTATGCGTTGATCACCAATTAGTCAGGACAAACTGTTTTATATATAGAGATAACGCAACGTTTTAAGATAGACTATGTGCAGAAAAGGGGAATAATTATAAGGGTATATCCTAATTTTAAATTCACATTTGAGTCTTTTCGTGCCATATTGAGTCAATACGGTCACGCACAAACTCGGAATATGAAACACGGCACTCGTGTCAATGCCGTGCAGCGATGAGCCACGATCAAAAAGCGCTGACAATTCTCATCTCAATTTGCTAGAGTAAAACTTTCGATAGTTGAAGCCACCGATACCATCAAAATATCGAAGTTTGAATGCAATAAGCAGAATATTTAAATAATAAAATCTAATTATTCATTGAGATCGATAAGAACAAATCATATACATACATACATCTGCCCGCAATGCGAAGCAGAATATGCGTAGCTCCGTTATTCGGCTTCTGCTTTACTATCGCTTACGCAGTCGTTACCTAGCGACGGTAACTGTAAACTTTTGGCGTTTTGCCTTTGCAATTAACATTAAATGGTTGTGACCAAGATGTGCGAGCCAACAACTTGAAGTTGTTGCTGTTGTTTTGTATGTACATGCTACATACATATACAGGCATACATACATATGCTTGTACATATGTATGTATGCATGGGCACACATACACACGAACTGTTGCTTGTTGTATGTATGTGTGAGTGTGTGTATGGGATGTCCCCAACTATTTGATATTTGATATACATATGGCAAGTAAAAAACATATTGCTATATTTTAATCGTTGAATGCCAATTTGTTGATATAGTTGTGTTGATAACATTACCCAAATTTGAAATCGATCGGTCAAATTTAATAACACAAACTATTCATTTGAAAAAGTGAATAAATATAAAAACCCCAATAATAAAATTAAATGCGATATATCGAAAATATCGATACTTGTGTTGATATATCGTAATACATGTCGAATACAAATACAACGAAAACAAGTAAAAAAGCTAAAGTCGGGTGTCCCGACTTTGAAATACTCTGTACATATGTTTACAATAATTATAGAAAATAAAAAAAAAAATAAATAAAAAAAAAATTGGATCGATTTTACCTCTCTCGGTATTCGAACTCACGTAAAGGGTGTATAATTGCACATTTACATAGCAATTGCGTCTGTGTGAGTGTATGTATGCCTATGCGCATCAATTCGTGTCTGTGTAAGCATTTTCGCAGTCAACCAAACAGCAACATCAACAACAGCCGCGGGCAGCGCTTGAGCAGCGCTGCAGCAGCAAATATATTTATGGCTATAACTTCTTGGTAAATCGGTCTATCATAGTGAAACTTGGCATACGGACACATAATTAACATAATTAACTAACTGGGGGTACTTGCAAAATTTTAGTTCGAAATTCCAAGAATTACGGGAGTTAGAGAAAATCGCATTTGCGTGGGAGAGGGGGGAGGGAGGGAAATTCCAAAATATACATTTTCTGCGTATTCACACAAGGCATCTTGGACTAAAATTTGGTGTGCCTAGGTCTTATAGTCTCCGAGATATAGGCGATTATACAAATGGAAAATCGGGAAAACCCCCATAGGGGGGAAGTGGGGGGGAAAATCAAAAAAATAAAACAAACTCGTATAGAATACACGCATAACGCATCTTCGTGCAAAATTTGGTGTCTCTATCTCTTATAGTCTCTGAGATCCAGGTGTTCATACGGACGGACAGACGGACAGACGGACCGACAGACAGACAGGGCTAGATCGACTCGTCTTGTCACGCTGATCAATAATATATATACTTTGTGGGGTCTGCCACGCCTCCTTCTGCCTGTTACATTTTTCAGCTCCCGCAAACCTAATATACTCTTGTACATTTCATGTACAGAGTATAAAAAACGTTTGAGAGTTATTGATTATAATACTGTATTCGATTGTTCACTGTACACATATGTACATAAATACATACAAATGTATTTGCATGTGTACGGTAACTGTAAACTTTTGGCATTTTGCGTATGCAATTAACAGCCGTAAATGATCAAAACGAAAGAAGATTTGCGAGCCAATAACTTGTTGTTGTTGTTTTAAAAATTTCGATTTGAAACCATAGAACACTATTTATTACAATTAAGCAACAGTGTTCGATGGCGCACTGCATATATACAAACCTATATATGTATATAAGAATGTATGTACATACATACTTATTGATATACATATGTACATACTATGCATACAGACGTATGTACGTATGTAATACATATGGTGCTGGTGTAATTCATAATGCGAAATTCTTTCTAAGGGGTGCAATGTCCCCCCTGCCCAACCTGCGTACGCCCTTGTAGTCCGTTGTCCTAAAAACCCCTTATGCCAAATGTACTAAACAAAGAAAAATTAAAATAATTAATTAACATTTCTTGCCCTGTCAGTGCAAGACGAATGTACTTTTATACATATGTATGTATGTATGTACATACATGTGTACAAATGAACATTCACACATTAGTGTCTCACATTTTGCTTTGGCTACTTCAACCGTTTGCACGCAACTACACGAACAGCTGCTTGTATGTGTGTGTGTGTGTGTGTATGTATACTTAGTTGTCCCCAACTGTTTGATATTTTGTATTGTTTGTTCTGCCTGCATTTGTAAAATGCATATTTTAAAAATCGTTAAATGCAAAGTTGTAATTTTAGTTACGTAGATTATATTACCCAAATTTGAAATCGATCTGACAAAATTTATAACACAAACTTTTCATTTGAAAAAATTAATAAATATTTAAACCCCAATAATTCAAGCTCCAACACAAATTTCGAAAAACCGAGTATGCAGTTTTGTTTGTATTCTTTTATAGATTAAAACCAAATTTAAAGTTGATCGATTCAGAAATGCAGAATTTTCAAACAAACTTTGGAGCTACTTTTCCCACCTTTGGAGCTCGAATTTTCCAAAACCGCTTCTTAGTGCTCACCTACGCCACTGAAGACAACATGTGCCCAATTTTCAGCCTCCTAGCTCTTACCGTTTGGGCTGTGCGTTGATTGCAAATAGCTTTTCGTTTACCGAATTTTCCACCGGAAAATCATTATTATTCAGGACGCAGGAAAAATATTGAAAATCCAAGTATACAGTTTTTTTTGTATTCTTTGTGAGAGTATACAAACTAAGTTTGAAGTTAATCGGATAAAAATTGTAGATTTTTCATACAAACGTTGGAGCTCGTTTTCCCCCCATTGGAGCTCGAATTTTCCGAAACCCCTTCTTAGTGCTCACTTTCACTATAAGAGGGATCTTGTGTCCAAATTTCAGCTTCCTCTTACCGTTTGGGCTGTGCGTTGTTTGGTTAATGTAACTTTTGAAATGTGGCCGGTATTGACGAAATTCTGTAGCGGGGGAAGGGGAGGAAAATACCAGAAAATAAAATAAACTCGTCCTTTCTCGGACCTAGGAGAATCTGGATACCAACTTTTTTTATTCTAGCTTTTATAGTTTCTGAGATCCTTGCGTTTATCCAGACAGACGGACAAGTCTAGATTGATTTCTCTCGTCATGCTGATTCAGAATATATATACTTTATGGGGTCGGAGATGCTTCCTTCCTTCCATGAATAAAGAAAATTTATTTAATACATGCATATGTAGAACACATGCTTATGTACAGTTTTAACAGCATACATTTACATCATCGTGTCTCTGCGTATGTGTATACAGCACAAAATTTAACCAAAGCAGCAACAACAACAACAACTGCGGGCAGCGCATCGGGCAGAGCCACAAGGAGAGCATGGGCAGCTGTTTTATTTATGGCTATAACTTTCTTCAGATTTGACCTATCATGATTAAACTTGGCATACGGGCACATACGCTCTAACTGGATGTAACTACAAAAATTGATTTAAAAATTCCAAGAATTACGGAAGTTTAAAAAAAAAACAAGTAAAAAAGCTAAAGTCGGGTGTCCCGACTTTGAAATACTCTGTACATATGTTTAGAATAATTATAGAAATTAAAAAAATTAAGAGAATTTAAAAACAAAATTGATCGACTTTACCTCTCTTGGTATTCGAACTCACGTAAAGGGTGTATAATTGCACGTATACATAGCAATTGCGTCTATGTGAGAACATGTTTGCAGTCAACCAAAGCATCAGCATCAAAAACAGCTGCGGGCAGCGCTGGAGCAAAATTCGAAATTATAAGAATTACGGGAGTTAGAGAAAATCGCGATTTGCATGGGAGAGGGGGGAGAGGTCTGTATGAGCGCAAGGATCTCAGAAGGTACAAGAGCTAGAGTCACCAAGTATTCAGGTGCCCATTTGCCCTAGGCAGGTCAAGCTTGTTTTTTTAT